GTAGGGCAAGGATCGGGGGATGGGACGGAGCCCAAAGGGGGGGGTAAAGAGAACAAGGTAGCTTGTAGGTTGAGAGTTGGATCATGGAATAGGGACGTTGACGGGTAATTCTATAAAGCTGGCGAAGATTCTCCAAAAGAGGAGGGTCAATATAGCGTGTGTGCAGGAGACTAGGTGGGTAGGATCGAAAGTGAGGAATGTAGATGGGTATAAATTGTGGTTCTCTAGAGTCGTGAAGGGCAAGAACGGAGTGGGCATTTTGGTGGATAGGGAGCTTAGAGAGTCGGTGGTAGAGGTTAGATGGGTGAATGACAGATTAATGGAGATTAAGCTAGTAGTTGGAAGGAGCACTCTGAATGTCATTAGCGCTTACGCGCCACAAACGGGCTTGGACGAGGATGTAAAAAGGCGCTTCTAGTAGGCACTGAATGAGGTGGTGAGGGGTATTCCGCCGACGAAGAAGCTATTTATAGGAGAGGATTTTAATGGTCATATTGGGTCGTCTACTGGTGGCTATGATGAGGAGCACGGTGGCTTTGGCTTTGGTGATAGGAACAGGGGTGGTACCTCACTATTGGATTTCGCTAGAGCTTTTGCGTTGGTGATCGTGAACTCTATGTTTCCAAAGAGGGAGGAACATTTGATTACTTTCTGGAGTATGGTGTCTAAGACTTGAATTGACTATCTCCTCCTCAGAAGGTGTGATAGGGGGTTGTGCCAGGATTACAAGGTGATCCCGAGTGAGATCCTCGCAACTTAACATAGGCTCCTAGTGATGGACGTCGGTATTTTGATGAAGAGAAAGAAGAGGTTTGTACGGGGTCCGTCGATGACCAGGTGGGGAGCTTTGTCTAAGGATAATGCACAGGAGTTGGAGGGGCGGCTGACGAATATAGGTGCCTGGAAGAGTGGTAGGGACGCTAGCTCTATGTGGACGGCGACAGCGGACTGTATAAGGGAGGCAGCAAGAGAGGTGTTGGGAGTTTCGAAAGGCTATTATGGCGGGCACCGAGGCGACTGCTGCTGGAATGATGTGATCCAAGGTAAAGTGGAAGCCAAGAAAGCGGCGTACATTAAGTTAGTAGAGAGCACCGATGAGGATCAGAGGAGAGCGAATAGAGAAAGATATAAGGAGGCGAAAGTAGCAGTCGCGGAGGCTAAGACTGCTGCTTTTGGTCGGCTTTACGAGGAACTTGGGGGCAAAGGTGGGGACAAGAAGTTGTTTTGGTTGGCCAAAGCAAGAGAGAAGAAGGCTCGCGACCTGGATCAAGTGAGGTTCATCAAAGACGAGGACAGTCGAGTATTGACGGAAGAGGCCCAGATTAGGCAAAGATGGTAGTCGTACTTTCATAAACTTCTGAATGAAGAGGCGATGGAAACATCGTGTTAGGGCAATTGGGGCACTCGAGAGTCACTAAGACTTTAGGAATTGTAGGACATTAAGGTTGAGGAGGTCATGGTGCGATAGGTAAGATGAGTCGGCAAAGCGACCGGACCTGACAAGATTCCAGTAGAGTTTTGGAGATATATGGGTAGGGTAGGTTTGGAGTGGCTGACTGGGTTGTTTAATGTTATCTTCAGGACAAAGAGGATGCATAATGAGTGGCAGTGGAGTACAATGATTCCGGTGTACAAGAACAAATGGGATATCCAGAATTTTAACAACTACATGGGTATCAAGTTACTAAGTCATATAATGAAAGTTTGGGAGATGATGGTGGAAGGGAGGATAAGGAAAGTTACTAAGTCATATAATGAAAGTTACTAAGTCTATATCGGAAAACTAGTTCGGGTTCATGTCGGGCCGTTCTACTACGGAAGCTATCCACCTTATCAGGAGGTTGGTGGAACTATACATGGATAGGAAGAGGGATTTGCATATGGTGTTTATTGACCTAGAGAAGGCATATGACAATGTCCCTAGGGATGTCCTTTGGAGGTGTCTAGAGGTGAAAGGCATGCCGGTGGCTTACATTAGGGCGATAAAGGATATGTATGATGAAGCTATGACTCGGGTTAGGACTGTGGGAGGTAACTCAGAGCCTTTTTCGGTGGTTATAGGATTACACCAAGGATCTGCGCTCAGCCCGTTCTTATTTTCTCTGGCGATGGACGCACTGACACAACATATCTAAGGAGAGGTGTCATGGTGTATGTTGTTTGCTGATGATATAGTTCTGATTGATGAAACACAAGGCGACGTTAATGGGAAACTAGGCAGGCTCTTGAGTCTAAAGGTTTCAAGTTGAGTAGGACTAAAACGGAATATGTGGAATGTAAGTTCAGCGACGTGACGGGGGAAGCAGATGTGGAAGTCAGGCTTGACTCATAGGTCATCCTCAAGAGAGAAAGTTTTAAGTACTTAGGGTCAATTATCTAAAGAGATGGGGAGATCGACGAGGATGTTATGCACCATATTGGAGTGGGGTAGATGAACTGGAGGTTAGCATCTGGAGTCCTGTGTGACAAGAATGTGCCACCGAAACTCAAAGGTAAGTTCTGTAAAGGGGTGGTTAGACCGACCATTTGTATGGAGCTGAGTGTTGTCCAGTCAAGAATTCACATATCCAGAAGATGAAAGTAGCAGAAATTAGGATGTTGAGATGGATGTGTGGGCATACTAGTTTGGATAAGATTCAGAATGAAGATATTCGGGAGAGGTGGGCGTGTCTCCTGTGGACGACAAGATGCGGGAAGCGCGACTTAGATGGTTCGGACACGTAAGGAGGAGAAGCCTAGATGCACCAGTTAGGAGGTGTGAGCGGTTGACTTTGGCAGGTACGAGAAGAGGTAGAGGGTGGCGTAAGAAGTATTGGGGCAAGGTGATCAGGCAGGACATGGTACGCTTCAGATTGCCGATAACATGACTCTTGATAGAAATATGCGGAGGTCGAGCATTAGGGTGGTAGGTTAGGCGGTAGTCGAGAGTTCTTTCCTCTTTGTACCGGGTAGTCTGATAGAGCTTCGTTTAGGTTTGTTAGCGGTCTTTGTTGTATTCACATTGTTGTTTTGCATAGTTTTGTGTTATTGTCCTTTCACTTATTTGTTGTGGTTATTTTTTTTCTGGTATCTTTTGTTGTTACATGTCTTTTCTCTTGTTTTTTTTATGATATTATTGCCTCTCCTGTTGAGTCGAGAGTCTCCTGGAAACAGCCTCTCTGCCCTTTTCGGGGTAGGGGTAAGGTCTGCGTATACTCTACTCTCCCCAGATCCCACTACTGAGATCTTACTGGGTATTTTGTTGTCGTTGTACTATAAAGGTTTAAAAGGAGAGACAATATTATAAAGATGAGTGCCATTTTCCAACAAAACAAAGTCTTTGGTTTTAGGGTTCAAAATATAGCAACCAACAACAATATTGTACCCAAGATCTTTAGAATAAAACTGCAATTCAACCAAGGAAAAGTGATCTTTGTCATTACCGAAGATTTTCATGTCTCTCTCACCTATATATTTTGGCTTGACATCATTGGTAAAAGTACAACCATGGTAAAATCGGGCTTGAATATATTCACTTGATATAATTGAGATTTTACACTGGAAAACACAACAAAAAATAAAAAGCCCAGCTCAGAAGATGTCTCAATCAGACATGAAAAAGCCGCTAGATTTTCAGAGCAAATTTCAAATTCACCACGACAACTATAACAATCATAAATATAAAGAATATACAAGCTTACCTGTATTAAAAATCTTGATTAATCCTGAAAAGTAATAGCTCATTAACCCGGGCTCCTAAATTGTATACATGCATCCAGCATCTCAACAAATACCTTACTTATAAATCGGTTAAACAACAAAATACACTTGCAAGCATGGAAGAAAATTGAAATCGAATAATAATCGACCAAAATTTTTGTCGGGTTTTATGGTGGGAAGCTAGGTATTGGAAAAACGTATAGATGAGGGGAAATGGATTAAGAATCAGGTTTGATTTAGGGTAAAAAAGAAATCGACATTTACTTTTTAAGGCAAAGACAACTTATGTGGAATAATTAGACATGTGGAGGATTTTCATTGGCTATATATTATACATCAGCAATGTTTACATGTACGCTCCTAATTTTTAAGACCAGATATAAGGTTTGGGTTTAATTGGCGCACTTGGGAGGATATTTGAATGCTTGATAGAAAATACTCAGGCTTTAAGTGTCCATGTAAAAAGCGGTGCCAAATTCCGGTACCTATCTATGTATTTAGCCAATTATAAAGTCCAAGTTAACGGTTCTAGTTTAATGGGCATAACTTCATGCTTGTGTCAGACTCGGCTTACAACAAATTGAAAAATGAGATCGTTATACAAATAGTTGGCCGTGCATTATATATTTTTTAGTTAATATACATATATTATACATTAATTACACATAATTATACATATTATAAATAGATTATCATATATTATATTTCCACAGAATATTTTTAATTTAAGCTATTAGTGAGCTGCTTATAATTTAGTTCTTCCTGGAATACTGGACTCCACCGACACCTATTTCAAATGAAATTGTAAAGTTAGGGCATTGGTTTTTGTTTACTGAATTTCAGTATCATTCGACTCCAACAACTCGTGTCGGCCGCTCAATTTTTATTACTGTTAGTCATAATTTTTACTTGTCAGCTAGCTACAGCGTTTTTTCATCCTCAATTCAAAAACTAGATATTTGAAAAATTCCTCAATTATTGTATACTGCTATGTTGTCCTGTACAGCTGCATTGAACTCGAGAGTTATACTACATGTGTTAAATTATACATAGTTGAAATAGTAGAAAGGTAATCAAAGAGGGTTTTCTTTTCCATTCAAGTGGCCCACACAATTATACTTTTTCAAAGAGTTACAATCTTATTTTAGATCAAATTCCATTTAAAGATACTTTTTAATAGTTTCTTAAAAGTATATCAAAGTCGATCAAAATTTTGGAATTAGTTGAGCCGGTTAATATTTTGATTTAGAGATTCATGCTTCTACAATTAATATTAATTAAAACAAGGAACTCATCATCATCATAGATCAGACAAGTTTTAATTGCTCTATTAATTGTCAATTTTCTGACAAAAAAATAAAATAAAGGGATGAGGTGGGGGATTAAAGGTCGACAACTTGCAAAAAAGAAAAAGGAAAAAAGAAAAAAGAAAAAAAGAAGAAAACTGCAACAAGATTATTGAGTCCACGAAGGTTGGAAACTCAAAAGTTTTCAATGTGTAAGCTCTGAAATTGCATAATAAGCGATCATAATGGGAAGTGAGACCAGAATGCCGATGATTACCCTGAAATAAAATTCACATATATAAGATCCATACGGTCAATAATCAGACCATTTCACGGAGTACTCAAGTTATATGGAAAACAATTGCAGAAAGAAGGTTAAATATTCATTTGGTATGGTGAAAATACTTCTTACAAAACACATAATGTGACCTAGTGATTAATGAAATTGGCTGAGAACCATAATGTTCAGAGACGGATTCAGAATTCAAACCCTAGGATTCAGCCTTTAAAGGTTTAATCATGGACTCATTTAATTTTTTAAAATTATAGGTTCATATATACTATTTGCTACAAATTTACTAAATTTCTATACATGAATTCATGACCACATAAAAAATTATAGGTTCAGTTAAACCCAGTATTAAAAGGCTAGGTAAGCCCCATGATGATCTCAGGTTAAAATTTTACCGACCAAAGTATGAACACTAAGTGATTCTTTCTATGTGTCCAAGTTCGATACTCATATCTAATCTGCATCTGTGTTGGTAAGAGATAGCAGGTATTCCATAAAATTAGTTGAGGTGAGAGTAATTAAGTCGGTTATGAACAAAGTTACTTTTTACAAAACCATTTACTTTGGTGAAAAGGTTTGTACTATTAGCCTCATTCACGAATTTCCTCTTATGAGAATACTAGTAATATTTACTAGTCGATGACAAATGAAAAAGAAATGAGTAGTGAAATAACTTACACAGCGCTAACAATCTCAGGGTGCACTCCATATTCTTTTGCCAAAACAAAGGACGCAATTCCTGGGGGTAATGCTGCCTTCAATCATAAATATAATTAAAGCTTGCCATTTGCCTTATAGATTAAGGAAAAATATAAATAAACCAAAAAAAAAAAAAAAAATTCCTTTGAAAATTCGTAATATGTATTAATTCCTGAAGGTAATGCTGCCTTCTATCATAGAATTCTTAATTTATTTTACACTTAATTTCCTTGGACCATAATGTTAACATTCAAAATCCTCCCAACCAAATTTGAGCAAATGAAAGATTTTAATTACTGAAAAAAAAATTAATTACCTGGAGAATGGCGGCTCGTAAAACATTACCATGTAAACCTACGACGAAGGATCCAACGGTCATTGTAGCTGGTCCTACAACAAACCTCAATAATAGTCCAAACATTACGACACGTGTTCCTCCGGCCATTATTTTCTCTTGCATTGCCACAAATACACCTGCATTATTTGATAGAAATTATTTTTAAGATTTTGTGAATGCTATAATATAAAAAAATGCTATAATATCCAAACTATCAAATTTAAGGGTGTCCAGACTATCAAATTTGGTATAACAAAAAATATTTTCCGTGGATTGATCTTACAAGTTTGAGTTTTTTTCTATTTACTAAAACAAAATCGATAAAATATATGATATATGTTGCTTTAAACTGTCGAACTTTAAGAGTGAATAAAAGGAGGGAAGAAGGAAAAGAAAAAACTTCAAAGTATGTCTTATTTAGATTGAGATGATTAGTTTCAAAGGAATAAATTTTGAAGAATTAATCTAAATAGGTATTCATCAAACCGCTTAAACTAAAAATAACAGTGAATATATAATATATGTATAATTCATATGCAACATATGTATAATCGAATGTGATCAGTGTAAATCTACATATACCAATTAGAAAAAGTAAATATTGAATCTAACCGATTATTTATTTCAATAATTTTCAGGTGGTAACTTGGAGGTTAAATTTAAGCTATAAGTTATAGATCCTCGATTATTACATAGTATTGTCCTAATTCTCATACAATGTAGTTAAATTAACTGAAAATTATAATAAATATTATAAAAGTTTGGTTTGAAATGATATTTTTTAATAAATAAACTATGACAAAATCCAAGGAATGAAAATCTCACCAATAGTAAACATTCCAATGCCACTTCCTGCCTTTGACATTATTGATATGCATTCCTTCGAATGTGATATATAATTATAATTTGTACTTTTACAAATGTATAAGTGAGTTGAGCATAAAATAGTACGTTCAGTTGAACCCACTGAATTCACTTTCATTCGGCCATTAAAGCTCTCAAAATATACTTAGAAGTTCTACGATAAAAGAACATAAAAAGTGACAAAAAAAGAAATATTTCTAAAATAAAAATAATTTTTAACATACCTGTTAGCTACAAGAGACCACATTATGCCCAGAAAACAAGCATAAAAATTAGGGTTCTTGGAGAGCTTAGTCCATACAACCTTCATGACTGACCCCAAAGTTGGTGTTTTTGTGGCTGTAGATGTTGTATTATTTCCTTCTAAATCCTGATTAGTATTATCAAAAGTCATCTCATTTTTTGCATTTCTCAATTCCATCATAAATTGTATGATTATAGACCATATGAGAAATTGGATAGCCAATGATTGAATCACTAGATCAACTCCTACTTGAGGACTCATGGCATGCAATACAGGAATCCCTATAACAAGAGCATTAGTTAAACTACAAAAGGAGAAACTTGTTATGGACCAAGAAAAGTTTCCTTTTCTATAGAAATTAGCCCACAAAGTAAGAACAAAACCTATGATGGCTTTAGCAATAAGATCACCACAAATGAAGAGATAGCTCATTTTATAGGGATTTACTTGGGAGATGAAGTCAAATGTGAAGAAAGGAAGAACAAAGAAATAGTTCAGTCTATTTATAGCATCACAATGTTCAGCACTAAATTTGTGCCACCATTTTACAGAACCATAACCTAGACCTAATGCCACATAGAGTGGTGCCATGGCTTCAACAACCTTGTAAATATCTGCCCACCCTATCATTTTTTTTTTTTTGGAAAGAAATAAGCAGATATATTTGCTTCTTTATTAAAATCTTGAGTTATGTGACCTTAAAATCAACTAGTTATATACTAGTATATATATTCACTTATAGGGTTCCAATGAGATAGATTCCTTTACATGCTGGATACTATGTTAATTTAAGTTTGAATCTGTTGAACAATATAATGTACCTAGTCAAATATGTGAACTAATTATATTGGTAGAATATGGGAAGACCTAGTGAAACACAAAAGCAATATCTAAATCTATGTTGCTCAGGTTCTCCAAAAATGCTGTCGTATTTGTATCGAATCATCCAAATTTGCAAGATGTATCACAGTACTCGTCATTATTGAAGTTGAATAGTAAAAGTAAGCCATGAATATTTAATCAATAATTTTTTTAAAAAAATTAACCAAGTCATAATTTCATAATAATCGTTGATTATTTAGCTCAATTAATTAGAAATTGATTTAAATTGCATTGTTGACTAAAAACAAAAGTTATTTTTCAACAAAACGAGTATGCCGAATCGTATCCCGAATTCTAAAATTTATGTGATAACGAATTTGACCTCCAGATTCTCACCCCATATCGAATCCGCATCCGTATTCAAGTAACTTAGATCTAAGCACAATTTGCAATAGTAAACCAAAATTTAATTTGTAGTCAATTTGCTAATAGACTTAATTATTTTAAACCCAATAAATGCTCATGCATGGCTAACTTGAGAAAATTCTCACGTGGGAGTGATGAAAGTTTTCTTTTCTTGTTAGTAAGATTTGGTTAGCTAATATTGACTAGCAAGTAAGTCATAAAGCCATAATATAAACAACTACTATGCGAATCAAGGATTTAAAACTTATGAGTTCAGTATTCTAATTCTTTTAAGTTATTGAATTTTAAATTAATAATTTATGCATAATTTAATAATTTTTAAGACAAATACATAAGATTTGGACAAAAGTTACTTCGTTCAGCAAAACCCGTATCGAAAGTACTGTACATTCTCTATTCGTTGAGAGATATATATTTAATTATAAATGTGTTTGGGAACTTTCCCAGTTACTGATCTTGACTGACTTCAGAAAACAGGACTGTTGACTTGTGCTAAAGTGATTAGTAAACTAATTTTTAACATACTAACATGATGAAATAAACTTTTGAAACAAGTGAAGTCGAAGTTGCTTAATTTCTTATTTTTCTTTTTCTTCTCTTTGACTTCCCAACAAGGGCGACTCAGTACTTTTGAGGGTCTAAAGCCAAACTTCCATAAGAGGCCTTTAATTTTTTTTCCTTAAATAAAAACTTTCATATGTATTACTTATTTGAAATCTAATGTTCTAGCTTTTTGAGATGCAAAATTATGAATAATTGTCTTATCTTCAATTTATTTTGAAAATTCTTTTTCAATTGATAATATAGCTAAATCCGATCCATTCAATCTCTTGTGCCATGGCCGATCCATTCAATCTCTTGTGTCATGGTTGATCTTAAGTAAGATTTTATCAATTTTAGTTTTGAAAATCTTCTTTTAAATTTCTAGTTTGTGATCGAGGGTGGCCAGAGGTAATTGTTACATGAACTATTATCATTATTCTATAAGTAATATAAGCATTTGGAATACAATCAAGTCTTTTTATCTGATTGAGCATATTGATTAGAGTACTACCATCTCTTCTTTTGGGATTGTATTAAAGATCAACTTTTCTTTTTTTCTTAAGTTTTGAATTACCGGATTCATACTTTCTATTTGACATATTTAAATTTTAATAAATACTAAAAGGATAATATATGCGTACGTATTTAAAATATCAAGAAAAGCAATGTTAGATGAAAATTAATACCAAAAATTGGAATAGAAGAAGCTGATTCATTAACTCGATGTAAAAATTAATATTTGTTGCGTTTAATGTACTTCTTGTAGGGTTTAGCTTGATTGACAAAAAATGCAGAATAATGAGATTTTTTGAAGGCACAAAGAAAAAATCTAATAGTAATAATGTTTGGTGAGAACTGAGACAATTAAAAAAGAAAATCAAATATTATGGAAATCAAGAAAGGAAGTGGAAAGGTTTACATAATATTTAATAAGAAAAAGACTAAAGAAAAAGAATAATCACTTGTTTCCTTCCAAATTTTTTTGTATTTACAAGTTAGGGGCCCATTTTTAAGAAACAAAGACATCTTTCCTTTTAAGTTTTTACCAAGATATGTAATAGAAGTGAAAATACTTAATTTAAAAAAACATTAAAGGGTAAAAAATTGGGGGTCTAAAGCCTGGGCTTTAGTGGCTTTACCCAAAAGCCGGCCCTACTTTCCAACTCCGTCTATCAGACAATAGCTCGATCGGTCTAAGTTAGACGATTGTGGTGAGTTCATGAAGGTAACGATATTTTAATGATGACAAATCTTTGAAAAAGTTGAAACCAACAAAATTGTAAGGTCCTGTAAACTTTTCCTAAAACAAAAAGGCGGATTTTGTGATGCCGAAGTAGGCGTAGGGGTTAATGTTCGGACTTTTCGGATGGAGCAGCGGAGTTCAAGGAAATATTTTTGCAGAAGTAGACATTTCTGCGGCCCATTATGCGGCCGCATAATCACTCTGCGAGCCGCAGAATAGCTGCAAAGTGAAGCAGTCTTTTTGGCCAACTTTGAGGTCAGTTTCACGGCCAATTATGTGACCATATAACCATTTTGCGGGCCGCACTTTGGTCGCATAATGTTCCTTGGACTTTTGTGGAGGGAGGTTCTGTGGTGCATTATGCGACCGCAGAACAGGTCTGCGGGCTGCATAACAGCCGTAGAGTGAAGCAGAACAGCCCAGTTCTCAGGGCCACTTTTCGCGGTCATTTCACGGACCGCATAACCATTATGCGGTCGTATATGCGACCGCAAAACCTTTTCTCGAGCTTCATTTTTGGGGTTTTAAAACCCAATCCAATTTCGTTAAAATAGATGTAAGGGGCCATTTTTAGCTAATTTTCTGATATTTTTAGAGAGAGAAAGAGAGTATTAGAGGGATAAAGTGATCTTCATCAAATTTGCTCTTCAATTCTTGCTTAACACCTTGAAGATTATCAAGAGAGACACTTAGGTCTTCTTCCTAAGAGGTAAGATTCTATCACCCAAACTCATAATTTCAAAATATAACTAGAATATGCCATTAGTAAGGTAATTCATGGGGATGAGAGTGATTACCTTCCATGCATGTGTTCCTAAGGTATGTGAGGAGGTTGTGAGTTAAAGATAGAAAAGAACGGGGTATGGATTGGTGGAGTCTTTTATAAAAAGGGCCATGAAACCTTAATACACACAAAGTGTTTGATAGAATGCTCAAGTGAGCTAGAATTAAGAATTGTTTTCCTAATTTTGGGTTCAATTTTGCTATATTGCTAAAATGGATTGAAGTTGCTAATATTCTGGAACATCTTAGAGTTTTAAGAGGCTCAATTGAGGTATGCATGGCTAAACCCCCTTCTTCTTAGACTCGAAACCCCTGGTGTTCGTATAGTTGGTGTAAGTCCCCAAATTGATCCTACTAGAATTGACTATTCCTAATGCATTGTGTTGAATGATATATGTTCAATATTTATTCTAAATTCTTATCATGTCATCTTGCCCTTTTGAGGATGTGTTTAAAAATGTGGAATATGTGTTAAGAAATGTTAAGATTTCATGTCAATAATCGAATAAAGATTGTTATGCCAATTTGTATGAAAAAACTCTATGTGCTTAGGATTTTTCAAGTTTTTCCTTACATGTATAAATGCCTTACGTGGTAGGTCTTATTGTTGCTGATGATAATATTATTGAATATGTAAAAAGAGAAACGTGAATTATGAAATACGGCCAAGTGCCAAGAATGACTTAATAAATGAGGTCATTCGTGCCAATGTATTGAAAGATGAGAAAGAAATATGAAGTGAGATGATTGATTGAAAGGTTGATATCTCAAGTGAGATGGCCTAGCCGTTCGGCCCGTGATTGGACACCATGCCGCATACATAATGGTAATTGTGCTGGAAATGATTGACTGAAATTGTGGATATGGTTGATGTCTCAAATGAGATGACCCACCCGATCAAGCTGAGATCGAACTCCGTGTAAGAACATTGTGGTATTGTGGATTGTGGCATATGGAACTATAGATTACCCTAACCTAATAAGATGAAAATTACCTTGAGAACTTATGTGATCCTTACTTGATGTTTTAGAATTGTTTGAAGTTGTTATTGAACTCATGATTGTTTTTCCCCTTGTATCAATGTTCATTCTATTGAGATGATGTTTTAGCTTTACATACTAGTACTATTCGACAGTACTAACGTCCCTTTTGACGTGGGCGCTACATTTTTAAATAGATGTAGGTGGTTCCATAGCAGTCAGCGTTGATCGCAGCTAGTGTTACATGTCACGACCCAAACCGATGGGCCGCGACGAGTGCCTGAGTCCTACCTGTCAAACACCACTAAGCATGCGTCTAAGATATGAATCTAAATAACATATGTTGTATTACGAAAATAACTTACATGAAGGAAACATGCCATCAAGGCATATGTACGTATACATGCAGAATACAGTGGGCGAGCCAGTAAGGCTGCTATAAACAACTATACATCCAAAACTGAAAGCCTCAAAACTGAAAGCCGACAAGGCCACATACAACCCAACTAGACATACTGTCCACAGACCTCTAACAAAAACATAACTGTTCAAAGACGAGGCTGAACCACGTCATACCCACATACAATTATATATATACAAACGTATCGTACCAAAATTAAAAGCAGCTCTGGATCAAATGGAGCACGCCAACTCCCGTTGATCAGGGATCCTAAAAAGGGGGACTGTCAGCTTACCTACATGCACCTGCGGGCATGAAACGTAGGCCCCGTGAAATAGGGCGTCAGTATGAAAAATGTACTGAGTATATAAGGCATAAAAATTTGTACGTAAAAGACATAGATGAAACATGGAATACATAAACACTTCTTTAA